AAAACAGAGAATCTCGATAAAGGGATCCTACAAAAAAAAAAAAAAAAAACCTATGTTTCACATAGTGCAGCCAACAAAAACATTAGAAAAAATACCAACTTCAATATATCTCACATACAAGTTCTTGGTCTCGTACATTCCCACATTCCTAAATATTGGATTGAACTCGAGATAAAAGAAACATTTATGAAAATACTAACTCGAGCTGAAACACAGAGATTTATGAAAACCAAATTTGACCCTAATATATGTATATATAATAAGGTGACAATTACAGAGATGTGTGACATTCGAACCATCTTTGTTGGCTCTTACAGGGAAAATCAGGAGTTCATGAACTATCCTACTCATCATACTTATTAGGTCTATAAATTACAACAAAGAATCCTTCTGTATAAGGAGAGAAGAGTTGAAAATAAAGAAACAAAAGAAAAAAGAAAAAAGAAAAAAAAAAAAAGAATCACAGACCTATCTGCCATAATAATGAGCTGAGCTTACAGCTAGCTGACCTTAATGCCCCCCTTCGATAATAAGCACTGGAAGGGGGGAACCCTTTTTGTTCCAAGAACTCATTAACTTGACGCCGATATTATAATAGTACCTTTTCTTTGCCATATTTTTTTCACCCCTCCAAAAGTTCTCTTATTATATGGAATTAAAACCTTTTTACCACACATCACGGAGATACCTGCCAGTCATTTGAAGATTTTTAACCATACTCTCAGCCTTGGAGCTGTCGAGAGATCCCTGGAAAATTGACGCAAGTAAATTTTGATTAGAAAGAGCTAGTCGAAGTACAGTTCTAGAAAATAAAAAACACGAAAATTTCAATCTCAATTGCAAATGAGAAGACAATTAGGTTGATTGTAATCTTCGAGTAACGCATGTTAAGACACAATAACTTGAAAACAACAAGATCTACCTCACAAGTAAATGATGGTTAAAATAGGGTACGAATTGGGCTGCACTTCAAAAATATATGTGGGTAACTTTTTGCTTAAATAAGAAGTAAAATGATTGCATTGAAATCAACAAGAAACAGACCCATTGAGGCAATAGAAATCTGTAAGTACTTGGCAGTTGAGCTCTTATTATGCCCAATAAAACAAGTGTCGACAAGGGGAACGAATAAAGTTGTTTGATGCGTATATGAACAGTAAAGATGGATTGTAATGAAGAAACCTGTTCTTGCACAATGTTATGAAGAGTTCGGTGAACGTCTCTGGCCATGCCCTTAGCATCACCACAAACATAAATATAAGCCCCTTGAGATAATAGATTCCAGATATCCGAGGCCTACAGAATAAACAAGAAGTTTTAGCATGTAGCTTGAAAAGTAGAATGAATAGACAGCAAACTCGTACTCTTGAATAAAGTAGAAACGGGTTTTGAAGTTCACCTTTTCAACCATTTTATGCTGCACATATTCCTTAGAGGGTCCCTCACGTGAGAACGCGACAATCAGCTCAGAAAGTGCGCCAGTTTCAGCAAAGTTGTTCAGCTCATCCTCATAGATGTAATCCTAAAGAGAATAACAGGTTTATATAAACTCACTACGTATTCAAGATAAAATATAGCATTCACCATGTACCACTTACCGTTTTCCTGTTCCTGCATCCAAAGAACAGTATGGAGTGTCCTAATTCTACACCAGATTCTTTCAGAGCTAACCTTTCCTGCAAATTAAAACCAAAATATTTTAATAGGCTCATACAAACTAATTCATCAGTTTGTAGCGTGAAGATGAATTCAGTATATAAAAACAAGTTCAATAGTAGCAACCTGCAAGAACCCTCTGAAAGGAGCCAACCCCGTTCCAGGACCAATCATGATAATCGGCAATTTAGAATCTGTGGGAAGTTTGAAGTTCGATTGCCTAACATAAATTGGCGCCCAACTGCATGCTTGGCTCTCCTCTAGTGGAATGGCATTCTGCGCAGAGAAATGATAAAAACTATATCCCTTTCCCAATATATGCTATAAATACATGGTGGTTTTGTCATCACTTAAATTCATATTCATTTTAAAGAAATGGCAAACTTTTTGTAATTATTCCTTCTACAGGATTGGAAGTCCTTTTTGTGATTATCTCCATCCGGAGGGGGTTGTTTTCTCTTAATGAATATAGTTTATTATCGACCAAAAAAATGAAATGAAATACAATCGAAGTACCTTCATCCAAGTTGAGCATACACCTTTGTGAATTCGTCCTGTTGGTGTTTTGTCGTAGACCAATGCACAAGTTACATGGATTCTAGACGGGGCCATCCTGTGAATATATTTCCAGAATGTTCAATAAAAAATTTATGCACGCGAAAGGAAAGGAAATACTAACATAAAAAGGAAAAATAGTTCCAAACTTGGTAGCTATTATGTTGAGTAAACAAAGCTTGATAAGTTATCTTTTTATCATGGGTAAGTTTGGTAGCATCTTTAAGTAAAAATAATTAAATCTAATTTCTACAAATCATTCCTGCTCTCAATTGCAATTATATATGCAATAAATGCCACTAATTTTCATTTTCATCCCTTTCATTGAGAAAACTTATATAAAATTATTTGTTTGCTTATTGACCTTTCATGGATATCAACAAT